TCCTTCCCTCCTTCCCTCCCTCCCTCCGTCCGTCCGTCCATGCATGCACACATACATACGTACCTACCTACCTACATACATACATAAATAAATACATGTGTGTATGTCTGCCATAAATGTATATCTATATCTATATGTTTATGACTTTCAGTCGGGGTTGGGGGTATTCTGGGGGAGGTGGTTACCCGATTGAAGCTGAAGGTTTCAGAAAAAAACAATTTGGCCCACCCGGACCTTGCAAGAGTTGAAAAGGAAGAGCTTCACACCATAACGCCGGGGCCTATTTCATTAGAAGGTTTAGGGCTTGAGGTCAATGTATAAGCTTTGGGGGTGTATTCTACCATAGCTATATGAGGTTTGTTGGTAAGTTATTCATGCATCTACCATATGGCCCTTGAGAGTGCCAGCAACCATCAAAATCCAAAGTGTGCCCGTCAGCCCAAAACGCTTGATATCTTCATTGGTTTGACGAAGTCGAAGCTGGGTGTTTTTGCCATTTTGTCGATAATGTTGTTTTTATGTGCACGGCCGTAACAGAAGTTGAAGCATTCTTGGATACGCCGGTCTTGTCCAAAAGGTGCACGAACCATTATCTGGGGAAGCTGCAGCATTGCTGTACCTGACCTATCACTATCATGATTTGAGGGCCTACAAAGCCTGAACCCAGGTACACCTTCTTGGCGTGCTAAAAAAAAATTGCTGAAAATCCCTGTATGCCCAAAGACCCTGTGTACATACCCAGCCCTAAGCTCTTCACATCCTGCCCCCTATACCCTAAACCCATTCCCCCGGCCGCTCCGTCCAGCATGCTAGCGCTGAGTTCGGCACCTCGGACACCTCCGTGGCTTTGGGCTCCTTCAGTTGCTCTCCCCACCTTAGGTGACATACCAAAAAGAGAACATAGTGACTTGGGATTTAGGGTTTAGGGTTGCATATTTAGGACTATAGTATCACTACGTAAAGCGCAGGTGAAACTGTAGGGGTTTGGGGGTCGTGAGTTCTTTGAGGCATGGGTCGTTTTTGCAGGGTCCCTGGGAATCGTGCAGGGCGTTTCTGTGGGTCCTAGGAGTACAC